AATAGGGTTGGAACCTCAACCTACGTATATAGTCTGTATTTTTTGAAGATAGAGTAAAATAACAGTTAAGTGTGCAAAAGTCTATTTTTTATATAATATCAAGTGAAGGGACGAACAAGTCGTGTATCTGATGTTAAGCTATACGCCTGTGCATAACAGTTACTGTGCCACTCAGAGCTTAAAATCGCAAATATCTTAAGGGTACTGCCACTCCGCCCTTCACCCTGAGACATAAGTTGACAAGTCCCATGTGGCTGTAATTTCACCAGGACCTTTACCCTTCAAAACCGGAACATGGTAATGCTGACATTACTGCTTGGCGGCAGAAATAGGTAAGGTGGCAGCGCTACCCTGGACGAACTCTTTCAAAAGGAGCTCTACTGCTTCTAAAATTTGTTTTTGAATAATTAATTTTTGTAAGTTCATATATACACAGATACACTGCAACTATGTCTATTTTTTTTAAATATTAAAAGGAGACGTACTTTAAAGTTTTTCATTTTTGTTCTGTCGACAATAACTACAATGACTATTGGAAATTTTATGAAACCGGCAACCCTGGAAATGTCAATTTTACTCCGTCTTCAAAAAAGACAGCCTGCAGTCTGTCTTTATGATGAAGCTACCACTAATTACTTTCCTACTTCTCGTAGCTATGCAGAACTTTGGTACCTCACTTACAATATTGGAAGTGACGCAGCAATTGACGCTAAACTGTTTATAATAATTTATGATACTTGTTTTTAGTCTCCAGATGCTTGCAGATTTTTAAACTGTAGCTAGTAAATGCGTAGAAGTATGGAATATACAGAGTGGCAAAAATCAAGGGGACTTGAAGGGAAATTATCTTAAATACTTAAGATGACTGATTTTACCCGAAGGAAACATTCTTTTATTTTCTTTATTATGAATAATCACTTTTTTTAAAGCTTACCCAACCCCGGCAATTCCCGAATTGAAATAAATAAAAATTGAAAAATAAACCACTCCAGAATTAAAAAGAAAGAAAGGCAAAATAAAGAGTATCTGGAGAAAAGAAAGACACAAGCAGCAAGCTCTAAATTTGTAGATAAATATGGTTTTCTACTCCCGTTAATCTGTCAATTATAATTTCATAAACCATATCAAAAAAGCGTTCTTTTTAGTTTTTAACGAGAATTCTGAATAAAAAATTCGAGCTGAATATTTCCTTTTTCCTTAGTTTAAAAAAAAATCGTATTTTTGCTGATTAAAAGAGTCTCGTTAAATGCGTCACTTTGTTCCTGAACAAAATAACGTCAATATATTTGTGAAATTATTAAAATTCAATTTACTTTATTAAATAATATCTCAAATTGTCTCATAACATGTACAAAGGCATCATTTCGCAAAAAATAACTAAAAACAAAATATCAAATACGACTCTAATCAAGCGCTACTACGCTACTAAAATATAAGCGTTAGGTCCTTGGCCAATCACTTCTATCTTTTGTTTTGTACCACCCCTAGAGGCTATGTTGAATGTGTGCCTGTGTGCATTATTGTTTGTTTGGCTTTCATTTGAGTTCGTCGTCGTAGATGTTAACGAAATCTTTGTGTTTCATTATTTTCATTTACTCGTAGAAAAAGTATTGTATGCAATCACTACATAATTAGGGCTTAAAATCTCGTACCTATTCTCGGCGAAGCCTCGTAGCTTTGACACGGTACTCGAACTATCATTATGCAACAATTGAATAAAAAATTATTAAATATTTTATAGGTTATTCAAATAAAAATAATAGTTAAAATATCGTTTACATATCACATATTTTAAATAGAAACTTTCATTGTATTTTTATTTTTCATTCAGCCGTTTTTAAAAATACCTTAGCTTTCTATTTCGACTTAGTAGAAAAAAATACAATTTTCCTTTTTTAATCTTTGTTATGGTTCTAAGTGACGGGACGAACAAGTCGTGCGCCTGATGGTAAGCGACAAGCCAGTCCATAACAGTTGCAGTGCCACTCAGAGCTTTAAATCTCAAACATCTGAGAGACACTGCCACTGCGCCCGTCACCCTGAGGCATAACTTGAGAAGCCCCATGTGCCTGTAATTTCACTAGCATCCCTTACTTTTCAAAACCGGAATGCAGTAATTCTCATATTGCTGCTTGGCAGAAGTAGGTAAGGTGGCAGTACTTCCCTGGACGATTTCTTTCACAAGAATCTCTACTGCTACTAAAATAATAAAAAATATTATAAGTGCAAATAAAGTTATAACTAATTTTATTTAAAGCGCACAAATTGTAGGAAATTAAACTATTTTTCCGGATTTAAATGGCGTATATTTGTTTTTTCAAACAAACCAACGTTTCGAGCCCTTAAGGCTGCACTTCCACCAGAGACGTGCGACGTAGCAAAGCAGTGTGCGAGGAAAAAATCCACCAATCACATCATTTTTCTAGCCTCGCTTAGCGCAGTTCCGGTGGAAAAGGGTTAGCGGAGTTAAGTATTTGTACATACAAAAAAGTGTGGAATGTGCGCGAGAGAGGCGGGCGAGGAATGTGAGCAAAACGAAAACTAGAGCTACTGAAAGTATGTATCTATGAAAGTATGACACTAATTGACACTGACATATCGCCACCACTCACCCCACCACACCATACCCCGCGCGCACATATTTGAAAAGAGTTCGTAACGCATCCACGCACAGCTTTGGTGGAAAACATCATACCGTTTTACAGCGCCGCTACAAGTCCTCGCACCGTCTCGCTACCTCACACATCTCTGGTGGAAAGGTAGCCTTACAGGTCCCATAGTCACGGTTGACTCAACGGTTGAGTTTCATTTCCTATGTGTAACAATCGCGAAAACCTAAGAACTCGATCTGGGCACAATAGCGTTCAGATGTGCCTTTTTATGTTATTATACTGTAATTGAACTACATAATAAAGACATAGTTCCATACTTACTGAGTAAAATCCTTTGATATTGGTATTTTTAACGTAACAAACGTCAGATAGGACTTTTTATAATATAAAATCTGATTATTGAAGTCAGTTATGCCCTTTGAGCTTGCTGTGTATTCAACAATTATTAAAATATATATTCACGAAATATTAATAGATTGGCCTTTATTTCCCTCGCCAACTCGATAACTAGATTCACCCGTAGCTCAGTTGGTAAGAGCAATACTACGGTGCGGTCATGGATTCAAGTCCCAACGGGTCGAAAAAGTTCAAAAATGTCTTCGATCTTTGTATTAATAACCATAATAAAAACTAGTAGAGTTAACCGTGGCCGTGGGCCCGAAACGTTGATATGTTTGAAAAACAAATATACGCGATTTAAACCCGAAAAACAGTTCCATTTCTTATGTGTAATAATCGCGGAAACCTAAGAATTCGATAGTGGAGTAATTTCACCACAAATATTAATGTCAATAATATTTCTTGCTGCTTGATATAATGGGCTGGTGTCCGCTATTCGAGGTCAAGGCGCCTATTTTGCATGTGGTGGGTGCAGGGCCTTACTCGTATTTCTATGTAACTCAATTTTTATAAAAACATTAGTTGTGCTCTTCTTCGTTCCGAGGGCGAGGGCAGCAGTGTATTGATCGATAGGTTCAATGATAAAGATGGAACGAGCTTGCCTAGGAGATGCCTATTCAGTCGCACCTTAAAAATATTCGGGTTGTATATGCTAACACAGTAGCACGCAGGAAATTCGACCTGAATATCGACCAAATATGGATAATACCTCACCGTACGTCTGGATGTCCGATGTTAAAAGAGGGCAGGTGGAATGAGTGATGGAGCTCATAGGCTCGCTCACCGAAGTATATTCTGTTCGTGTTGCTATGATTCAGTAGCGATTTTTTTATACGGATTTTTTGCTATTCACGAATAAGGATATTATTGTTAACTTAGTACATGGTTAAGAGCATGTGACGCTCGACACTTAAGATTTAAATTCAACTTTATGTTGCCTGTTACAAGAGCGGTCCAAAATCTATGTCACCGCTTATATCCGCAAGGTAAATAACAAAATTTATATAAGTATAATAATGTTCTTTTACGTCATCTGTTGTTAGCTTTGGTAGCAGTAAGCGACCACGTCAGTTTTGAAATATTTTAACCAGATCCTGATATAGTAAGACTTTATAGTGTATGCAATTAACAACACTCTAGAATTATATCTAAATTACGATTGGCTATTTGTTTATACATATACATATTTCTAGCTCTTACGTTTTCACGATTTATCTAAAAACTATGTATTTGTTTTTTTTCAAACAACCCAACGTTTCGGGTTCTTATCAGGTCCAATGGTCACGGCTTAGATAATAATCAACCATGTCTATTTATTAATGAAAAAAATATCTTAGATCCGAAAAAAACAGTGTCACATCCAAGATACATAACGTTTGTATTTTAGGAGATAAAATAAGTAGGTACCCATTTTATCTCCATCTCACCTAATGGAAAGTGATGACGAGGCCGAATGGTGCACACACACCTCTATAAAACACCTTTCTGACATGATTTTTTTGCTTATTTGTTTTAACTTTTTTAAATATTTTTTTATACAGACGATTTTATTTTATTTCACTTTACTTTATTTTAATGCCTTATTCACTCTTGCATTAAAAAGTCCAAGTTGTAGCGTTCATGTTACGTCGTAATTATGGTATAAAGTAACTTTGGACCGTGTACGTTTTTGCAGCTGTAAATAATAATATTATTTTGTTTTATGAAAAATAATAATAAAATACTATATTGATAATAAAGGTGCGCTGCAGCCCGCTCGCCCGCCATTTACGACGCTAGATATGGGAGTAAACGGACGCATCGCTTGCGCACGTCAACACCAAACTTACGTTATTTTATTGAGTCACACATGTACAGAGAGGTGTAGACGTCACAAGTACTTAAACAGAAACCACACACGTATGTGTACCTATTCGACGAAAACGTCGTTTATCCTGTTTCATTTCATATATAAACACAATAAAGTTTTATTTACGTACACATAGTCCTAAGTACGCATCCGGTATTCACTTATACAAATATGAAAACTATAGTGTCAAATGTGTTTGCGTTCCTGGTAGCCACTAGTTGTGGTCATAACGTCGATAATGATTTCAAAAGTAAGTAAATACAATTCACAGAAGAAGAAATCTTTAAAAACTTTCCGTGCTATAGAAATCGACTAAGGAAATAATATAGGTTACGAGTAATAACGTCAAACCACGCCTCAATGGAATAAACTTCCTTTTAGACAACCCTAAGTACAACGGATAGAGGGAGTGAGTCTGGAGATCTGTAAAACAGGTCCCCAACCTTGCACCGACTAAAGCTATCACTAAGGAACTTGTATATATATACATGAACTTGGACTGCTTAGGTATTTTTATGTTTTGAAATTAGACGTTTTAGAAATTTTATATTTATAGGTATAAGAATATATAGTAGTTTACGATAATTTTATATATGTATTGGTTTTATTACTTATTTATAAATATATGTTTATTTGCATTTATTTATCAATTTTTATCTATTAATTAGTAATTCCTCATACACCGCCTTCTTTTTCCTGTGAATTATATAATTACTTCCATCCAAAGGTTGTCTGGCAGAAATCGCTTAAAGCGATAAGACCGCCCATTGTATCACCGTTTATTTTTAATTTAATTGTATTGTATTTGTTTCCTTTTTTGGTGTACAATAAAGAATTTTTGTATTGTATTGTATTGTATTGTATTGTATTGTATTGTATTGTATTTTTGTATTGAATGTAAGAACTTATAGACTTTTCAGAGAGAAATAAAGCATTTTGTATTTTCTTTTCTATCTTATTTATTACACATGATGGAGGTATGAATAAACACGAATGAGAATGCTTAAAACTTAATTTCAGATTCAATGTGTGAGGAGACGGAATTCCCACCAGATCCTAGTTCTCAGTGTTGTGGCATTGACACGCGGTCATCCAATAGTATAATTGGTAAGTAAACACTGGTAACTCTTCTGTAACTGTAATGAGTGATGGAGCTCATAGGCTCGCTCACCGAAGTATATTCTGTTCGTGTTGCTATGATTCAGTAGCGATTTTTTTATACGGGTTTTTTGTTATTCACGAATAAGGATATTATTGTTAACTTAGTACATGGTTAAGAGCATGTGACGCTCGACACTTAAGATTTAAATTCAACTTTATGTTGCCTGTTACAAGAGCGGTCCAAAATCTATGTCACCGCTTATATCCGCAAGGTAAATAACAAAATTTATATAAGTATAATAATGTTCTTTTACGTCATCTGTTGTTAGCTTTGGTAGCAGGAAGCGACCACGTCAGTTTTGAAATATTTTGACCAGATCCTGACATAGTAAGACTTTATAGTGTATGCAATTAACAACACTCTAGAATTATATTTAAATTACGATTGGCTATTTATTTATATACATATTTCTAGCTCTTACGTTTTCACGATTTATCTAAAAACTATGTATTTGTTTTTTTTTCAAATAACCCAACGTTTCGGGTTCTTATCAGGTCCAATGGTCACGGCTTAGATAATAATCAACCATGTCTATTTATTAATGAAAAAAATATCTTAGATCCGAAAACTTAACGTAACGTAACGTAACTTATACAAACTAGTGGAGTATTTTCACAATAAAGTAGATGAATAGTAATAACCTCTACTTTTCTTTTTTATAATATCAAGTGACGGGGCGAACAAGTCGTGCGCCTGATGGTAAGCTACACGCCTGTCCATAACAGTTGCAGTGCCACTCAGCTCTTTAAATCGCAAAGGGCGCACTACCACTGCGCCCGTCACCCTGAGACATAGGTTGACAAGTCCCATGTGCCTGTAATTTCACCAGCACCCTTCAAAACCGGAATACAGTAATAACGACATTACAAGGAGTTCTACTGCTAGTAAATGCGGTACAACACCATAATTTTATGTCGTATAAAAGATACGACTACGACGACGTCGTAATCAAACTTACTCATAGGTATTTAACTGTAATTGTATAGTTAGATCGTGAATTTTCTTAAAACAAATAAAATACAATTTAAAAAATATATATATTTTTTTAATTTTTGTCTCCAACGTTCACATACGTTGATGAAATCAAATTAAAATATAATCTTTATTTCATAGATAAATAATAAATAACACTTGCAATCATTGATTAAAATCTACTATCTAAATTCGTAAAACAGGTTCGCTTTTTGTAAATAAATATATGTATTTCAACTACTTAGTACCACAAGAGCTCCAAAATAGTTCGTCCAGGGAAAAATTGCCACCTTACCTATTTCTGCCATCAAGCAGTAATGTGAGCATTACTGTGCTCTAGTTTTGAAGGATCAGGGTGCTGAAGAAATTACAGGCATATGGAACTTGTCAACTTATGTGTTAGGGTGACAGGCGCAGTGGCAGTGCCCCTAAGATCTTTGGGATTTAAAGATCAGAATGGCACTGCAACTGTTATGGATAGGCGTGTCGCATATCATCAGGCGTACGATTTGTATGTCCCGTCACTTGGTATTATAAAAAAGAAATATTTATTTCAAATATCATCAACCGAAATAACCTCCAAGAATCACTACCAAGGATTTTGTTATCTATACGCAGAAGTTGTAAAATATGAAGTAGTAACTTTTGGTATAAAGTTTTTGTTTAACGATAGTTTTGAACCTCGTAAATATCAAATTTTTAATATCATTCAAAACCTTATTAAAGAAGCAAACACATAACCCCTTAAACAAAATTGTTGTAACTTTGTGGAGATCATTGTCAAGAACAGTAATTTTATCTTTATTCTTTGTATTAACGTTGCGTCTCCTTTTACTGCACTTTATGACATAAATTACATTTGACAGTACTGTGATGCTAATGTAAGATTGTTAACTTCTTTACACTTCTCTGTTGAAGATATTTTGATTTCTAGATTATAAATTGCCCTAACCGCACGTTTTTTCAGTGCAAATATTCTATTAATATCCGCAGCATTACTTCAAAATAAAATGCTGTATATCATTAAACTGTAAAAGCAGCTGAAGTACACCAATTTACAGGTTTCTACTTCAGAAAGTTTTCGTATTTTTTTAATCGCGTACACTGCAAAACTGAGCTGTTTGAATACTTTTGTTATATGTGGACCCTATTGTAATTTAGCATCTGAAGTTATACCTATGTCTTTAATCAATATTCAATTTTTCGTTTGTAGTTATGAAGTTTGTGACAGTCTGTGTAACATAGGATTATAATTTTAGAGTTTTGTCCGCTCCGCCGCTCCGGCGCAGAAAAGACGCGTGATGCGAATGAAGCTTCATACTGGATACTTGTCTTTTAATTTTGTCGAATATTATTTATTTGATAATAATTGTTTCGGACGGATGTCGGACGGAGATCGAGAGTAGACCCCAGGCCAGCATCCTAATTGCCACTTTCGTGGTGATTTAAGTTTCATTTCGCAGTGTACTAAATTAATACTAATTATTATCCGAAAGATGGTTACGAGGCTTCTGTCAGACAGTATCCGTGGGTGGCTCTTTTGGAGTACGAGATGAATGGATTTTCTTCCACCACTCTCTGTGGAGGATTCTTGATCAGCAGTTATTACGTCATGACTGCTGCTCATTGTGTCACTGGAGAGATGTTTGATAATAGAAAAGTACGACTGTAAGTGATAATATCAATTAATAAAGTTTTTGATTTTACTTTGAACAGTTTTAAGAGTAATTGTTTCACTATATATAGTTAGCAAACATATTTTAAGGCTCGTAATTATTCGCTAAATTATCACTTTCACAGAGGATAAACAAATATGTCAAATGGTGATGACAGGGAGGGATACCTAATTTCAATTTCAGAGTCAACGTTATACTGGGTGAATACGATATAACAAATCACGGAAAAGATTGTGCAAGGGATATAGACGGAGTAAACGACTGTACTGATGGAGCAATTAGTATTCCTGTCGAAGATATTCAAATTCATCCTTCTTATTCTGGTGAAATTTCAAGTCAGGGAGATATTGCTTTGATTAGACTTGCTAAAGCTGCTCCTTATACTGGTAAGTTATTTCTTGGAAAATCTTTTAAAAATATTAGGCTAACCAAAAGAAAACTCTTGAGCTATTTTAAAAAATTAAGTTTGGGCTACTTTGATATTTCAGAGGTTAATTCAAAGCATCTGAGTATCATATCTCATTCTCAATTTTGTTAGTTTCTCAAAAATGTTTTTTTTTTGTCATTTTCATATTGAGGGTACTAGGTATAAGATTGTATTTCAAATAGAACCAATTTAGAAAACAAATTTCTCTAAATGGTGATGACGGTAACTTTGGGATCCATACTTCGGGAAATTAATTGATTAAAGATCTGAAAGTTTGTGTGATTGAGTATAAATGTATCCGAAGTAGGTAGATATCTATTATTTGGAATATACTAACTACTAATACTTTGATGTGGTAGTTCAGACTCTTGAGGAACTGTATTTAATAAAACGCCATTCGATCTCCAAGTTCTTGCGAGATTGGATAATCACTCATGACGTCGTCGCCCAGCAAAGAGCACATAATGCTATCATGCTGTCGTGGCATTAATACTTTTCTGTAGTCCATAGCGCGTGATTGTGCTTTAACTCTGCGTTCTTTATCAAGTAGTGACATGAGATTATCCTTAAATATTCCGTGAAATCTTCACGACTACATATTTTAAATAACCAATTAGAGAAATCGGGTCTTGTGTCATTTTGTACCAGAAAATATTGCAAGTAGATAAATAATAAATTCATTTTTATCAATCTTGGAGTAATTATTTCGTTAATTATTGGAAATAGACAGGATGTTACGATAAAATTAGGCATGTTTTCCCACACGTTTCTTGCGTGATCAAAGTGATGGTGCGCGTGGAACCTCTACGTGGCGTACACCGGTAACAACTAGGCACGGTAATGTAGTGCCTGAACAGTGGCTAATCTAATGAACACGATGCGTCAACCGACTTACGGCAAAGCCCATTTCATAGTTTCCACTCCTAAAACCAGCTCTGAAGTTAAATTAACATTGAAGGTTTAATCGAAACGGCAAGAAAAACAAGATGAGTGATCTAAGTTTGGTGCACTAAGTAATCCCAAAGCCTATGGTGCACTAACGAATACGCGTGCTCGCATTCTCTCACTCTGAAAGTAAATGAATGAGAAGTTTGGCCCATTTTATGAACCTAAATTCTTTACGCGATATTTAATTGGAGGAAATCAATACTAATTATTTTTTTTAACTTTTATTATTAAATATTTCTTGTGCGTTTCAGATTTCATTCGTCCTATCTGTCTTCCAAAAGAAAATATATACAGCTACGCTGAAAAGGATCTTGTTCTGCTTACATCTGGTTGGGGCGTATCCAAACAGTCTCTAGACATGCTAGGTTGGTTCGATATGAAGGACAAATTAAGCCCGGTCAAACTGCATGTGGAAGTACCTTATATTCCGTTAGAGGTATGTTATTTCTTAAGCACAAGATTAATAGATTTTTTAGTAGATTCTACCAATCAACTCATTGAACAATATTGTTGCTAATGTAATTATTGACTACAATCTGGTCTAGTCTAAAAATAGGCTGTTCCGTGCATTGGGTTGCGACGAGAATGATTTTTTTTTATAATATCAAGTGACTGAACTTACTAGTCATGCCATTACCACCAGGCGTAAGCTACACGCCTATCCATAACAGTTGCGGTGCCACTCAACTCTTTAAATCGCAAGGATTTGAGGCGCACTGCCACTGTGCCCGCCACCCTGAAACATAAGTTGACAAGTCCCATGTGCCTGTAATTGCACCAGCACCCTTACCCTTCAAAACTGGAACACAATAATGCTGACATTATTGCTTCGTAGCAGAAACAGATACGGTGACAGTACTTCCCTGGACGAACTCCTTCACAAGGAACTCTACTGCTACTAAATAATAAAATTGATAATATCTGCTACCGTTTGTTCTTGAATTAACGACCTTGTGGGCAATATGTTTCTGCTATCAATACAGTGACTGACAGCAGCAAAGATACCCGGCTGAGTCAGTAACTTAATTCAGTTTCTCACAGGTGCTTTGACCTTGAAAAAGAAAGCCGTTTAAACTTAACAATTATAAAGAATTTTTCGTTCTGATCGATCTTTGTATTAATAATCATCATCTTATTTAAGAGCCAGACTCTTGTCGGTGTAACCTCTTTCACTCGTTACGGTTCATAGCCAGTTCCTTGACCTCTTTATAGTTTTTCACTTAGATCTTGTTTTTATGTGTTTGCTATACGCCATTTTTGGTCTTCCTCTCCTTCTTTGCTCTTGTATCCTTCTTTTCTCTTCTATCCTTCTCTCAATTATGACTCTCATAAATTTGTCATTAGGTGATAATGTCCAAACATTTTCCCCCATCTCTTCTCCATTGCATTCAAAAGACTTCTCCTCAACCCTTTCCAATACTTCCTCCTTTGATCTCATTTCAATCCATTTAATTTTTTCCATTCGCCTCCAGTACCAGTCTCTCTCTGTCTTTCTTTGTTATTGTCAGTAATAATAATAATAATAATAATAATACACGAGATCACCGACTTGTGGGATGTGGTCTCCACTAAATATTCCCAATTGTTTTGTCCGCAAATGGGTTAATTTCAGTCAGCCTTGCTAACAGCTTGAGGCGGTTGGATTTCTGTGGCGTGTCGCTTTCAGCACAAATGCAGAAGGCGGTCCTGCTCGATACGGCACGTATTATTCGCCGGTTCTTAGACCTGAGTCCCGCGAGAGTCTAAAATAGATATAATAAGAATAATAAAAACCCGTCAAATTTAGTCTATCGAGTTAATCATAAAAAGAATCGCAGAATATCGCCCTGTATTACTAATACCCTAATTTGTTTTAGAAATGCAAATCGCAGCTTCCAGTCTCAAACGAACACATATGCGCTGGTGACGTTGGGAAACGATCTTGCGGTGGTGATTCTGGCGGGCCACTGATGTATGAACTCAATGGACAATATGAAGCTGTTGGGGTCACTAGTTACGGATCTGATGTGTGTGCTGTGCTGCCCATAGTCTACACCAATGTTTATTCAAATTTGCCGTGGATTGAAGGAGTAATCTTTGAGGAACAAAATAGCAACAGTTTTGAGGAACTAAATACAAACAGCTTATATAATTATTATAACTGAGATCCCATCCCAATGCAATCTTATTATTGCCTTCATCCATCATAATATTAGTAGGGTTACCAAGTACAATTTAATTTAAGGATATGTAATTATTTTGAAATTTCACTGACTACGTCCCACTATTTTGTTTTACTGCTACGCTCATATATTTTTATAATATCAAATGACGGGACGAACAAGTCATGGTAATAAGGGTCATTTTACTTGAGTCGAGCAGTAAAGATACTTGCTTTTTTTTAGAATGTTTTCTACAAACGAAATTAAAGACATTTGAAAAACGTCTATTTAGTTCAGTTGACATAAATAAAAACATCGGTATATGTAACGTACCTATTGAACACAGCAGTTTTCTTGTAAAGTTTCAAGGTAAGTTTGTGTTTTGTTTCTATCGTGAACATTTTTACAAATCGTGTTTTCTCGCCGTACAGTGTGTATCCTGAATTTTACTATATATTTTTTCACAATGTGATTAAAACAATATTTTCACTGCTATGGGGTGTGAACCAAAGCCATTTGAGGTTGCATAGACTCTTAACCTGTCGGGTTTTATGATAGTCAACGTGTCCAGGGAAGTACTGCCACCTTACCTATTTCTGCTGCCAAGCAGTAATTAGAGCATTACTGCGTTCCGGTATTGAAATGAAATGAAAAAAGAAAGAAAGAATGGTTGGAAATTATAGGATTGCCGAACGTAAACATTGGATCAAATACCATCTTCGTTTGTTCGCTTCATTTAAATTGAAATAGAACTTTGAATGTAACAAGATTTGATTTTGAGAGAACAAGATGTTTCAACATTGAAGCCATACATTTGCATGTTGATATTGACTTATCTATGATTATGGTACAACACTAAATCCGCCATTTGTGGTGGACATTTTTAGTTTAGGTACAGACGTTTATTCCGTAGATAAGGCAGCTCCTTTCCTTTATTTTTTTCGATTCTCTAAGTGGTCAAGTCATGAGCCTAACATTACAGTCATGAGCATAACAGTTGTAGTGCCACTCAAAGCTTTAACACGCAAAGATCGGAGGAGCACTGCGCCCGTCACCCTGAGACAAGTTGGCAAGTCCCAAGTGCCTGTAATTTTACCAGCACCCCTACCCTTCAAAACTGGAACGCAGTAATGCTCTCATTACTGCTTGGCAGCAGAAATAGGTTCCCTGGACGAACTCTTTTACAAGAAGCTCTACATTACTAATCAATTGAGTACAGACAAAAAGTATGACACATAAAAGCGAATAGCGAAAGTTTAATAAAAAAATCTTATTGTAATCATCTCCTCGGGTCGAGTATTAATGTTTGCTCTTTTGACAGTGTGTACAACATCAAAATATGTCCTATGTAAATCCTTAATAAAGCATCCACTGTTACCCTAGTCATCATCGTAATTTAATCTGTCCATGATTGATCGTCGTGGACTCAAACGCTGCTGGGCATCTTTTTTCAATACTCGATTACGGTGTTTGCTAGTAGATAAGTGCCTTCATTGATTGATTATTTATTTATCAATAGTTTATACTGGACCTTATTAAGACATATGGTAAATATTTTAATAATAATAATAATGGTTTATCTCGACACAAGGCAAATACACTTATATTAGATTAACAATATTAAATGTTCTATCCCTTGTGAATAACTGGAGACCGTCCTAGGCAACTACATCTTTATTACAGCTCACCAGGCACTCGTATTCCTACATACTGTTGAGCAATAAAAATTGTAAATACTATCTAATAATGCTAAAAATGCATGTACGTAGACGTGTGTCGTGTGTGTGTTTGTGTGTGTGCGTGTTGTGTGTTTGTGTGTGATTTTAATGACATATTTTTTATTAATCGTGATAGAGGTTGGTTGGTTGTTATTCCCCGGCTGGAAAACATTGTTAGGTAATGCCACGGAAAAAAACAAAGGAAATGCCTTATGCCTCGATTACTATCAAACCACTACACGTACACAAATTGTAAACTGATCTGAACATAACCATACTTAGGGTCGTATTCCAGAACTCTACTCAATGCTCACGTCAGGATTTGAGCAGACTTGAGTATGATTTCAAGTACTGGAAATACGACCCTAATGGCAGGGACTTGAGTATGATTTCGAGTGCTTTAAACCATACTCAAATCCTGACTTAATATATATAATACGACCCTAAGATTATTAATCTTGATTGGATATACCTAATCCGCAAACGAAATTGAACCTACTGTAGGTATATACATTTTGGGAAAGAAGTGAATCCAGCAAAGTTTTACTGTTAGTAAAGCCAGGGATCGGAACATCCTGTAAACTGTGTACTGCAGTGCATAATGTATAACTTGTACTTATATAAGTTAAATACCGATCTCGGTGAGAAGGCGGTCGTGCATACACATTTTCAAGTCATCAGTTTGTGCTGTGACCATTTCGGCTACAATTGCCTACAAAGACAGCGCTACGTGGACCGAGAAAGACATTGGTAGCTTAGTGGTTTGACTTAGTGGTTCTCGGAATTTACGTGAGAAATTTAATTACAAATTTACTGTTAAATTAATTTATTAGGTGAAGGAAAACATCGTGATGAATCTTGCACCTGGAAGAAGGTTCACAACCTTCGGAAAACCTGTGAAGTCCCCAACCCGCATCGGGCCAGCGTAACGGACTATGGCTTAAACCCTCACCTAAGAAAAGATCCGTGTCCCGCAGTGGGGCGTAAAAGTGGATTGATGATGATACTAAGAAACATGTAAATATTGTGGTCTTATTTACAGTTTTTCCACTGTCCTTTAAAACAATTCGAAATTACTTGTTCGGTGTTGATCCCTAAGCGCCGATTGGTCACGTTGTGTTTACAGAAAAACCTTTATACGGCTATATTTGAATGTTTTATTATACCCCATCAATCATATAAAAATACAATTGAAATAACCCTGAAAAGCCCTTTTTAAAGTGCTAGAGAATGAGCGGTTACAAATTGTATTACGAAAACTGACATTTGATTAAAGCAATTTTTATAGTAAAAACATTTTTTTGTCGACGTCGCAAAAATGTAGATTTTTTTCAAAAGAGAATGGATACCTTAAAATGCTTAGAATTAATTTTATATTTACGAAAGAACTACTAACTACTACTACACTAACTATCAGTTTGAAAGAAGTTTAGATGAGGTTATGAAATTCGTCTTAGCTTCCAATGTTTTTAACTACGCTGTCTGGTTATGTGGACCTGCAAAGTGTTAGAAAATAAAATGAGCTCTAATACAGTTTATTGAGGCATGTTGAGCGTGTATGCGATTGAGTGTTGGTTGTGGTAGAAAAAACACGAGAATACAGTGAATGCTGTAGAATTTAGGTCGTAGTAGTATAAATATACAGCGTGAAGAATAATGTGATTTGTGAGCGATTCGGTATGAAAGACGACGTAGTTACAAAAAAAAAATAAGGTCCGACGCCCATAGACGGTACATCACGGCAGAGGATTTTTAGGTGACGAATAGTAATACACCTTAAGGTTATGATGTTATAGTTGAAATTTTTATTTTGATAATGGTCATAGCTACGAAAACAAAGCTGTATACCTAGACGGCAGCTTCCGGAATACCTCGGCAGCCTTTGGGATGCTTCGGCAAATTTTTACGTGTAACGTTACGATTGATCTGTTAGTGCGCACTCCATCCGATTCGTATTCATTCCGAATCCAAGACTATACAACTCTAGAAAACTCGAATCCACTTTGGATGTTGCTTGTGCACTAAGTCCAATTGGAATCCGACAAAATACGAATATCGCTTGTACACCTTGAGATGGAGATAGAATGCTCCCTGTGACATTTCGGACCGTTATTTCTCGGATTCGGAACTGGGGGTCTACTCTCGATCTCCGTCTGACATCCGTCCGAAACAATTACTGTCAAATAAGTAATATTCGACAAAATTAAAAGACAAATATTAAGTATGAAGCTTCATTCGCATCACGCGTCTTTTCATTTGGTCAAGTATTGCTTATTTGGCAGTAATTGTTTCGGACGGATGCCGGACGGAGATCGAGAGTAGACCCCCTGATACGAATCGGACGTACTGCGCAAACGTTCTTAGGCGTGACCACGATGCGATGTCGCGACGCGACGGTATACCTCGGCACGCCTAAGAATACCGCTGCATATTTGCCGTCAGTGTGCGCTGGTACATGCACAAGGTAATATGTAAAATACGTTAGTATTTTACGTAGCAGGACTTATTATTTTAATGATTCATCAGATTTTACTTCCAAACAATAATAAAGTTATGTAAATAAATCAATGTAAACACTGATTACACTGTGCAAAACACAGGACCGCGGGTGGTGGTCGTCGAAGAGGACGCTTGCATGGAAACTTAGCTTGTGTGGCTGTCACAGTGATATTTAACTAGCTGTAATTAACACCGCTACATAGTGGTATTTATATATACTCGCAAATCTGCACATTTCTAGATTCTTTGTCGTCAATTTGTAAAATTTTGGTTGAAATATATACCACTGCTTTGAAATATAATTTTCCCTTTTTGTTTTTAAATAAAGAGAAATCCGAAAATTTATGTGTGATATATATTTTTTCATGTTTCTATATTAGAACCAATTAAAAAATTTGATAACCCGTAAACAAAAATGATGTTGGATGCTATCGTTTAAAAAATTGATCAATTTTATTTATTTTATAGACAATTTACGCTTGATCAAAAAAATGACTATATATAAAATGACAAAGAAAGACTTAATGACTCCTAAGACAGTTTCATTGTATCTTCTATGGTTTCAGATTTACCCGTACTGTCCCATTTAAAAAAAACACTCATTATATGAAAGTCGTAAACATAATTCGAACTACATAAAAGATATATAACGTACATACGTGGGGCGCACTGTAAGTTTCCGGAATGAATAAGAAAAAAATACTATAAATGGTCAGAAATGAATTTATTGTTTCTCAAAATATTCTCCGTTAGCGTTAATGCACTTTTTCATACGAATGAACCAATTTTGAAAACATTTATGCCACTCCTCCGTAATAATCTCTGAAACATATTTTTCATACTCGTCAACAGCCTCTTCAGGTGATGAAAATCGTTGATCGCGTAACTGGTTCTTAATTTTTTGTTTTAAGGTATATATAATATAGGTGTATTTTGTTTTTATATTGTTATGTATGTTAGTCTATAAGGTATGTATACATGGGTCTTTGTTACCTGATATAAATAAATAAATAAATAAATAAAAATAAATTAATTTTTGGAAA